CACTATGTACGTCTGTCCGCAACTGGAACCGTGCATGCTCCGAGAGCACACCCGCTGTCATTTCTCCAGCCCAGGAACTAGGCCGTGCCATAGCTCAGAAGGTCACGTCATGTAGGTTTAGTGGTGGGCAAAGTGGCAATGGGGGCAGGTTTTTTCGATTACCTAAATTTCCCCTGTGCATTCTCAAACATACACATTTACCGACGTTGCGTAGCTTCGGTATGAAATTACGTCACCGCAGGCGGAGAGTCGTGATGCGAGTCTCTTATAATTGCAGGTCCGGAGCTTCATTCTATATTCTACACTATGCCCTGAGTAAAGCAAATCATAAAGTTATCGCTGTGCTTAATTAATTAAGCACCACGCCATTAACACGTATGTGGGTGAGTAGAGGTATACCTCCACCATTCCTGACTTCTGTTCTTGATGGAGGCGGGTAGTCAGCTTCACGCCCCTGCCGCTTAGCCCCCAAGAAACGCGATCAAGTGCCCACAGAATAAGAGTGAGCCCCAAAGTCGGGCTGGGGTCTGTGAAGCAGAGAGAAATATCTTGCCTCTGCCGCTGAATCGAACCGGAACCGTCCATCCCTGAGCCCATCACCATACCGACTGCCCTAAGTTGTATTCGTAACACATTCTACACACCTCTGCGTTGTGTATTTAAAAGCGCCTCATACTTCATATAATCGACGCCATCTCGTATTGCGGAGGGCCGGGTTCATGTCATGCAAATTCTGTCATGAACAAAACGACGAGTGGTCGAGATTATTTCCGGGCACGTCGCGTCTCCCCTTAATAATTGCAACTAAAGCCGTGAAGAGTCAGCGGATAAGAAGAAATCTTGACGGCCACCAGCCGCAAGAGCCTCAGGCCTCACAGGAGCCACGTCAGCAACAAACCGCCGTGGAGCCTGAAATCTTCAATATCTGCTCTCGATACGCTGGAGTGACACGAGCGCACAAAATGCGTCCGCTGTAACGAACGTCGTGACGTCCGTTGTAGAAATAAACAAGAGAGGCGAATGATACGCTTTCTTCCGGCTCCATTGCAGACAAAAAAACTACGCACCGCATTCTGCAACTGTGTGGTGTCCTCAGCAACGTCCGTCATAAAGTACGTTCGTTGCAACGGACGTACTTTGTGCGCTCGTGTGGCCCCAGCCTAAGACCAATATTACCGTAAATTCGCTTCCTCGGTCTAAAGCTCATTTCGGAATTTACGGTTCACTTCACGACGTTGTTAAGTCCTTTACACTCTTCGGGGCCAAGGTTTACTTCAGTGCCGAGCTGTAGAAAGCTGAGAACTGAAAAGGACGGTCTTGGTGTATTCACCACGGCATTTTCCTACAGTAACGGAGGAAAACCATGGGAATTCTCAGTGTCCAGGTCACACTAACTTCCTTGGCGTATCTCACACCATATGACATCGAAGGCCGGATGATATTCAATAAGGAATGGAAAACTGTGTGGAAGGAAAGGTTCATTTCTGAACTCAAGGCACTAACCCGAAATTTGACACGACAGACCGAGGAAAATCAAACAAAACCTCACTCAAAAGAGTCGGTGCCTCGCCGAAAGTCGAACCCAGCATCTCTTGATTACAAACAAGACGCGTTACCTCTTGAGCCAAAGTGTTTTCTGACGCGAGAAAAAATCCGTTGCCTATAGTCCGCAAGCGAACTACACAGACCGAGCGACCGCCGCTTGTCGGCGAAGTTAGTGCCAACTTTAGCGTACAGAAGGCGTCACGTGGTCAGCGCAACGGATCCCCACGTCCGTTAATTTCGGTTTTCTAGACCGGAGCCGCTACTTCCTTGAAATAGCTCCTCAGTTATCCTCAGAAGGCTGAGTGGACTCCGTTCCAGACCCACTACTCCCCAGAAAATCTGGTAGCGCCGAGATCTGTAGCCAGGAACCTTGACCACTAGACCACAGAGGCGGTCTTGATGTAAAGTAATGAAACATTATTTCCAGATCTGTAAACTATGTAGAGGCATTACACCAAAGTACGCGTTACCTCTTGAGTCAACCTGTTTTCTGACGTGAGAAAAAAACAGTTGCCTGTAGTCCGCAACCGAACTACACCGACCGAGCGACCGCCGCTTGTCGGCGAAGTTAGTGCCAACTTTAGCGTACAGAAGGCGTCACGTGGTCAGCGCAACGGATCCCCACGTCCGTTAATTTCGGTTTTCTAGACCGGAGCCGCTACTTCCTTGAAATAGCTCCTCAGTTATCCTCAGGAGGCCGAGTGGACTCCGTTCCAGACCCACTACTTCTCAGAAAATCTGGTAGCGCCTAGATCTGTAGCCAGGAACCTTGACCACTAGACCACAGAGGCGGTCTTGATGTAAAGTAATGAAACATTATTTCCAGAGCTGTAAACTACGTAGAGGCATTACACCAAAGTAGCTTTTCCGTCTGAGGGAAAAAAACAAAGACAAAAGAACAGGTAACAGTGATTTCACTGGCTTTGCAATCACGGCCGAACAACGTTGCGCTGCAGTCAAAGAGAGTTCCGCTACGGCCGTACGGACGGAGATGTATTGATACCGGCCGTTTGGAGACGGGGAGCAAGGCTTTGCAAGTTTCGAGTCGGGCAGTCAGAGCGATTTATCGATTGTCCGCTTACTGCTGCTATCCTAGACAGAAACCGGGGGAAAACTTGGGAAGTAGTGAAACAGAGGAATGAGGCTGCTACAGACCCAAGAAATACAATCGACTTCTAACACTCAACTGACAAATTCTGCCACTGGCTTTCAGCTGGCCTGTCTTTATATTTCTTTTGGGCAGTTACTGTAAGACACATAAAAATTAGAATATACAAAACTATAATTTTGCCTGTGGTTCTGTATGGGTCTGAAACGTGGTCTCTGACATTAAGGGAGGAAAATAGACTGAGTGTGTTTGAGAACAGGGTGCTGAGGAGAATATCTGGACCGGAGATGAAGTAACAGGAGGCTCGAGAAAACTGCATAATGAGGAGCTTCATAACTAGTAATCTTCTCCAAGTATAGCTAGAATGATCAAGTCAAGGAGGATGAGGTCGACAGGGCATGCAGCACGAATGGGGGAGAAGATGATTGCATATAGGACATTGCTAGGAAAGCCAGAAGGAAAAAGATCACTGGGAAGAAAATGGCGTAGGTGGGTGGACAATATTAAAATGCATCTTAGAGGGATAGGATGGGATGGAATGAATTGGAATGATCTGGCTCAGGATAGGGACTAGTGGAGGGCTCTTGTGAACACGATAATGAACCTTCGGGTTCCAAAAAATTCTGGGAAATCTTGAGTAGCTGCAGAATTTGCGGCTCCTCAAGAAGGGCTCAGCTCCATGAGCAAGTTATTGTACGGTACACTCAGTGTCTAGACAATATCTTTTTATTGCTAGTGGGGTGAGACTAAGTCCCTTGTTCTGCGGCAACTTCTGGCCTATTGTACCAGCCCCAGATGATAGGTGAGGGTGATTGTGGAGCAATTGGTGGAATGAAGATTGGCAGGGGAAACCGAAGTGTAGAGGCTCAAATTTGAGATGGGAGATTGTAAGGCATTACCCAAATGTTCGAGGCTTGCGAAAAGCGTTTCACAGTTATTACAGTAATCTGTCAACACCTGGACAGGCAAATAGGTTAAGAATGTTGATGATCAGCAAGTATGTGTAACCGCAGTAGCAAGAAGCTTGCCTCACTAGGCCACTGGAGTATCATAATATTACCGCATACACAGCGATGAGACGCCCGGGGTCCGCCCACAACCACCAATAATAACCAATTAGAATATTACTATGAGAATTGAGGACACTGAGGAGGAGTTACCTACCCTCTGT